CCACAAAACTTGCAAATCTCACAGTAAATTATCAACAAGAACACCAAAAGCAAATACAAGCTTTGCAAAAACTGACTGCCATTAAGCTTATTTTAAGAAACTAGGTTTATGGCTCTTTTTTCCCCAACAAAGAATTAAGCATTACAAATTGGATTGCCATTGAATATCTGGATTGTCATTAAATAGCTAGACCAGATAAACTGTCATGTAAGTTTTTCACTGGTGACAGGCATTACCCCATTGTGTCTTTCATGGTACCAATGCATTAACTCTCCCAGCACTATTTGAACAGCATCAGCTAAATCATCTTGTCAATTCAGAATTAGCAGAATTGCCACTGATACTAGTGCCCTCCACTACCTCTCCTAATAAGGGTTCATATGAGGGCACCCCCCTACTACTGTCAGCTTTTCAGATCTGCAATGATTTTTGAAGTAGTTAATTTTATTTATCCAGACCATTTTAATTCCTGAGAACAAAGTGGCCTTTACTGCCTAGAGCTCAGGGAGATTGATGCAGTGCAGTGAAATCCTGCACACTCTAGCAAGTGAAACCGCTTTCAAATGAGTGCACAGCTCAAAGTGCGTGCTCGATGTATTTGCTCTGAAATTATTTAGTTATTACTATTGATTCCTCACACAGGTCATTTTCTGTGTGCAAGTGAAATCTTCAGAATCCTATGCATTTTGTCATAACTTATTAGAGCTATTAATAAATTTGTAGTGTTTATGTGAAGATTCTTCATTAAAACCAGAAAGTAGCTTAGAGTAGCTATGTCTGAAAGTGCTGGAATGAAGAATCCTGTAGGATTTTCATGATGACAGTTGAAAATGTCATGTGAATCTTCTGTTGCTTAGAAGCAACTCTATTTATTATAAATATAATCTCCAAAATGAATATTTGAGTATGATAAAACACCTGTTTGCCACTCTCCTTCAGCTGCATGGTGCAGTTGTTATCAGTGTTCTTGCCCTTATCCAAATGCTGTCAGGAATATTTTGAAGACACTAAAAAAAATTACCTAAGGAACAGAAATGTTTGACAGTGCAAAACCAAACTACAGGGTCAATCTTGTGGCCATTTTGCCATTCATATATTTTCAGCTCATGAACATACTTTATAATCAAATTGCAAAACAATCACTTAACTGTAAAGTTACTGTATTTTGCATTTTGTTCTCTGTCTTCTAAAGGTGTATTTTTCTTAGACTCCTTTTTTTGCAAAGCAAAGGCACCAGGTCTAGTAGTTTATTGCCTCTAAGATAAAGTTATTACCTTCCTTTACAATTCTGAGGAATATTTTCTGGTCTTTCAGAATATTTTGCATAAAGGAATTAGAGGAATACCATTTCTATTAGTAGAATTAGTGGAATATCACTTTTATTTCTACTTATTAATAAATAAAAACTTTTCCAGGTACCTACAAGGATATTTGCTTCACTGAGGGAAAGGAGGAAAGAAAAACCTTTTCCAGAAATTTCTGGAATACATTTATGTGAAGTTCATTTCTACTTTTCTTCAGTCTTCTAGGTAAATTTTAACCTATGAGGGAACAACTAACATGTGTTTGGACTCTCAGTGTATATTTTCCAAATAACTGGAAATTATTTTTGGCTATCAGTCTTGCATAATGCCATCCTTCCCCTTACAGCTCCCAAAATACAAACTATTCTGACCCGTAAGTGATGAGCCTCTACTGACTCATTTCAGCGCCTTAAATATACCCTACCAGCACATTCTCCATGTGATTAGGGACATCACTTGGGATTCAGCAAATCTGTTCAGTATATTCTTTGGTTATTTCATCAACCCCTCAGATATTCAAATTCCCTTATCACTGAGGCCTATTGGAAAGATCTGACTGGCTTGTGAGATTCAAGATCTCAACATCCATCAAAACAGAGTAAGAACTTGCAACATATTCTGCAATGGCCATGATAAAAAAAAAAATATTGATTTGTTCTTTATATTAGATAGACACTTGATTTTGACAAAGGGATTTTTATAACTAATTTAACTGAATAAAAGAGAGCAATCTGATATACTCTTATCCCTTTCATCTTTGGGACACTGTTAAAACGGTGAATTTGAATTCTGCATTTACTGATTCTACTCCTCTGTAGTTCTTTCCACAAAATGAAGTCTTAGCATTTTAAGATGAATATCATACTAACAGCTTCCTCACACATATATTGTCTCATGGGCTCTCCTAGTAACTTCCCATTTAGCTCATTTAACTCACCCCTGTTCCTCATAGCACCCATCAAATCGTATTTCATCTCCATGTTTTTAAAATGATTGTAATGGATTTTAAGTTATTTTCATGAGTTTTCTCTCCCATTCTTGTGTCCCTCACTCATTAATTTAGCCACTTCCACACATTCTGACCACTGATGTTTTCAATTAAATGCAAATTCAGCCTGAGCTAAAATTGTGAGTCTTCAACATTCCTATGGATCTGATGTGAGAAAACAGATTAGTCTACTGATGGACATTTCATACTGAGAATCTATATCACTTTTTGGTTTTAGTGATTTTGACGAAATACATTGTTTTAAGATGATGATCCATGGTTGTGGGAAGTCCTATGACACCCATCTGTTTCCTTAAAAGTAACAATCTTTGCTCCTTGGCTCTAGGTAATTGGAAAGAATAAATGCTGCCTAATGCCTTCCAGCATAGAAAACAAACCCTGCAAAACAATCTATTACAAACAGATTAGAAGAAACTCTGTAATCTGATGGCAAAGCAAAACTATGGCAATAGTTTCTGAAGCATTCCGTAGGTTTCCATTTAATGCCTCTTAGTCAGCATGGCTCAATAACTGGCCCTGAAAAAGACTCTCCGAGCATGGTGATTTGAATTCCAGGTAAAAGGAAACAGTCTAGCAGAAGCCATAAGTGGGCAGAAAGAAGAGGCTGACTTTGTTATCGCTGACTAACAGAAAAAGGATAACAGGCACCTGCTTCAGAAGATCTGGACTAAAATAAAGTTACTGTATTAGGTGGTACAGCATGAAGGAGATCCCATTGTTTTCCTAACTCTACAGAAAAGACCTGGCTGCACATCACTTGAATTTTATTTTTTTAACAATGTGTTAAAAAAAGGTGGAAAAAACCCCCACAGGTCTGACTGCAATGACGTCTGCAAAGCACAAAAGCAACTGCAAAGTGACTGCTTGCTTGTTGAGCCCTGTTTCTTCAGTAGCTCAGATCAGTTCACAGACAGCATAAAAAGGCATCCACAGGGAAACACCAAGCTTTTGTGCACTGAGATCCCCTGTGCTCTAGAGGCATGGGTTTATGTAATTGTTCACAGACATGTGGCATGCCACAGAAAAAAAGAAGAAAATGAAGTAAAATGTCCTTCAATGGCTTGATACGACCAGGCTGGAGAGCAGAAGGACAGGGTAATGTACTGGAGAATAGTACATTTACTGACAAACTTCTCACCATGTGGTTGGGAAAACTGATCAATACAGTCAAATCATCAGCTCAGTTATTATAAAAGACCAACATCCTTCCACTGCAGAGGCAGCAGGAAGAAAAAAAATGGGAAAAAGCAAGCAAATGAAATTTCCCACTGACAGCCCAGTCAAGTAACTGTCTGTGTCTGTGCACACCGAAGAACACAACACAGCTCCACCTGGAGACCAGCCGTCTCAGGGACTTAAATCAACATGGTCAACAAAGCGGAAAGTGGACAGCAGCAACATCTTAAAAGCCATTTCCATGATCAGAGACACTGTTAAATACTCACATGAGAGCATTCTAAATCAGGCAAAGTGGAACAGTTTTACAAACAAGCTGAACAAAAAAGTCACTGAAGGCAAGTCATTAAAGGATATTTAATGTAAACAATTTACTTTTAAATGTGCACTTTCTCTTCCTACCAAATGTCTGGTTATTTTTCTTTGGTTACATGCATATTGTTCAGGACAAAGAAGATGGTCCCTCAGATTGAAAATGGCTTAGTAAATGGCAAACACTCCCTCAAATGTGCTTCCCAAGGTTTTGGGTTTTTTCCACCCAGGTGCCAAATTGGTCAGTAAAATAACTTCTTATAAAGCTTATCAATTATATAATTATTTATTTTACTTTCATATAAGCACAAACAACAGCAGCACTATTATGCACATCATTAAAATTCATCTTCATCATGCAAAATCCACAGCCTTTTCTAGTTTATAGCTTCCCCCCTCCCTCAAATATTTATGCCCAGCAATCAAAAACTTTTAAACAAATTGTAAAGTCTTTAAACATGAGTGGGAAAGTAAATGCACCTAAACTACAATCAGTTCTTTATAACATGGTGCACAGCTCTTCTAAAAGAAAACCAACTGTTTACTCAGCATGTCACTCTGTAGTTTTTTAAGATTTAGTATAAATCCTGGCCACTGGTTTTTCATTTCAAACATTGAGTAACTTCAAGTAAATTTAAAGAAAAACCACAGAACTAAAATTATTTGATTTCTTTTTTATCATATTTTTCTGCTTTACCATAGTGTTAAGGGTGGCTATATTTTAAATAAGTGCTTAGTTAATTAAGTTAATTTAGGAACGTTATCTCAATATAACCCAAAAAATCTAACTCATAATTCCTACAGGAATAATAACTCACACATCTAAGAGAGATTTTCAAAGCTGCTGCTTTCTTGAATCTTACAATTTATTCTCTAAGCCATGACGTTTGTTACAGGGAGCTATTTACAATTTATGTAGACCTGCCAGCAGATTCAAATTAAAATTAACTGTGTAAATTTATAAACTCAGGAGTACACATCAGCTGTTCTAAACTTAACATTATCAAGGTAAGGCTCTAAAGCACAAGAGGAAGGGACATGTAGGGCTCTCTGAAGTCTGTGTAATGTTTCACTGTCAAACCTGCAATGCTTAAGGAACAACACAGTCAAAGGCACAAACAGGAATTTTATGGCAATTAAATGATGCCAATTTTAAGAGCTGTATCCCTGCTTTTATAGGAGAAAAATATTGCTTTTACCTTACTGATAAGTGTGACGACATCACCTTCTCGGATTGTGAGCTCATCATCATTCTGTGCTTCATACGGAAATATCACTTTGCAATACTCCTTGTCTGAAAGGAAGAACATTCAATGTGATAAATTATCCCTTTATAAGAGCTGCTTATTCAAGGGTGAATAATCTTCATAAAATATTCCACTAGTGTCTCTTTGTGCCGCTTTACTTCCTTGCCATCTTTCTCTTCGTATTTTAGACCTTCATAAACAGTATGAAATATTTAAAAAACTGCACTGATGAGCATTCCTGCACACATCATCCAGGGAGTTGGCTCTGCAGCCCCTAGAACCATTATCTCTAATGAAATTGCTCCAGACAGCAGCCTGCCACAAACTATTTCCCTTAGAGCAAGCCTGTATCTGACACTTGCTCCAACAATTCCACTGGTATGGCCTTTCTCCAGGTCACATAAACTGGAAGCATAAAGGACCCAGCAGGTCAACATAGCTTATTTATCCCCTTGTGTGCAAGACAGAGGATATTTCTGAATCTATAAAGATGACAAAACAATAAATAATACATTAATGTAAATGCATTAATAACTAAACCTCCTGTATACTCAGCATACTCTGAATATTACCCTAAAGTTTCCTTGTCCCCTTTTCCTTTACTGTATATAAATATGGGCATCATCTCAACTTTCATCTGGAAAATACAGGAGCCAGCACTCCTACTCAGAAATCATGAAAAGCAGTTGCCATGAAAAGCAATTACCTACATGTTGCTGCGCAACAGACAAGTATGTCAATTTGCCTTACAAATAAAAAGGGAATATGTATTCCAGCTGTTAAACTATGCATAAAAATATGTGATACTCTTAAACAGAAAGTTTAAAAAGACCAAGTAAACTCCCTGACCAACTGTACAAGAACATGTGACTTTGTAGAAATGTTCACCTCACTTTAAATGTCTCCGTTTTGATGACCTCTTCATCTAGTCAACTCTCATATTCAATGCAGACAAGAAGGTACTTGCAAGACACAGAAATATAAATTAATTTGAAATAATGGGACTTATTTCTTTGTATTTGCTATAAAGAGAACCTGCATTATCACACTTGTGGGTATTTGAGCCTCCACTGGTGGGGGGCAGTTCAGCTGCCCACACATTAGGTGCCATTTCAGACACTCATGGGTATGTAAGACACCTGCAGAGTTGGCAGATACCTATGTTGATGCACAGCTTATGGGAGAACCAGGTCCCTCTGGCCTGACAGCTGGAAGCAAGTCAAAACAAAACACTCTGGGGGTATCTCAAACAGCTCCAGATGCAGGTTGCTGATTTCAGCCCCCAGGCTTGAGCCTGGTATCTGAATTTAGATTCAAGGACCTGATGTTAGAAACCAACATGGTGAGTGCCTAGACTTGCACTTCAGTTGATGGAGATCAAGGCAATAAAGTGAGCGAAGCCTTGGGAGCCACTCCTCGCTCCAAGAGCAGACACCTACATTTGATCAGCTGAATCACTCTCTGAACTCTCTGGACAGCACAGACAGATCTTCAGTGGGACCCACTTAAGTCCAGATACCAGTTTATAACCCAAACTTAGGGCTCTGACACAGAAGCTGCATTCCAGCTTCTAAACTTTAGTGAGAGGAACATCAACCTTAAAGAAGCAGCCAACACATATGCATATAAAGGGTTGCTGTCTCTAAGCACCATCAGCCTGAGAAATCATACAGTACTAATGGGGAAGAGGAAAGCTCTTCTCTAGTTCACACACTGCCACACAGAAACAGCATGAATTTTATGTGGCACTGGTTCAAGCAAACAAGGACTTCTTAGGCTTCACATATTTATTTTTCTGAACAGAAACATTTCAATTATTCCATGATGATTACAGCTGGTTTTCAGGCCCTGTCCTGTACTAGGTTTGGCTGAGATGGAGTCAGTTTTCTTCCCAGCAGCCCACATGGTGCTGTTATTTTGGATTTGTGCCTAAAACTGCACTAATAACACACTAGTGTTTTGGCTATTGCACAGCTATACCTGCACAGGTATATTATATCCCCCAAGTAAGTTGGCCAGAGGTGGGCAAGAAGCTGGGAGGGGACACAGCAGCTGAGCCAAGCTGAGTAAAGGCTATTCCACGCCATTTGACCTCCTGCTCAGCAATAAAAAAGGGTGGGCTTTGGGGGTGTTGGTGTAGGAGGTTGCTGTTGCTTGGAGACTGGCTGGACATTGATGTACTTGTAGTAGGTGGTGAATGATTGCCTTTATGTTGCATCTTATTTTTCCTCTTTCATTCACTTATCAAACTGTCTTTATTCATAAATTTTCTTCCTTTTGCTCCCCCTATTCTCTCCCCTATGCGGGAGCAAGTGGCTGGATGGAGCACAGCTGCTGGCTGGGGTCAACCCACCATACCTCCTCTGAAGTCTCTGAAGAAACGAAGAGTCAGATGAAGACAGTGAACCCAATCTTTGGAGGAAAAAAATGAGCAGGGAAAAAATAAATCCCTTTCCCTAGTTCTGAAATCAGGGAACATTGTCAAGTAAACATCTGCTGGCTTTTCCAAACCACTGGGCATGTGAGAATCACCAGGTCACAACTCAGATTTCAGGGGATGAAAGGGGTGTCTAACTGCTGCTTTACTGCATTCTGGAGGAAAGGTGGGGATCTCTCTTTGCGGACTTGTCTAGGATGTTTCACCTGCTCACTGTCTTGTCTTCAAGACAGAACTTTTTATGTAAACGCTGGTGGAAAGTTAACACATACATACTTAGGTCGATGTAAAGCAGCCTGCAGATAAATATGAGATTCAGCATATTTTACACTTCAGTGGTATGATACCTTAAATAACCATGGTGGGTTTTTTTTTTTTCCTATTCTGAGAACATCCACATCCAGAAAAACAGCCGTGTTAAATAACAGATTCAGTGAATTAGCCCAGAGTCGATGCAGACGTAATGCTGTACTAAAGACACCGAGTGCTACAAACTCAGGCAAGTCTCTAGTTACTGGAAGCATGCTTAGCATTTCTTTTTTGGGATATAGAATAGAAGGCAGGTGGATTCTTGGAGGTAAACACTACCTGAGCTCAAGAAGGATCACTGAATGTCCATTCTCAAATACATACATTGTTCCTCCATTCAGTAACAGCACAATCCAAAGATTAAGTGAGAAGCCAAGCACAATGTACAGCTAAGCAACCATGAACAGTCACTGCAATGTCGTAATGGCACTGCTCTGAAAGGAGGAGAAGGCAGTGCAGCTTCTGCTCAAGGTGTGGATGAACCCCATGTGTTCCAGGTTAAAGAATGCTTTGAACAGCAAGTGTCCAGGGGCCGATGTAACCTGAGTCATGTAACAGGTAAGCCTCCCTCGCATCTCACTTGCTGTTTGAAGACTGGGAATTTGAATCATCTATCAAGATGAACACCCTGATAGACAAGAGTCTGTAGTTTCAGCATCTGAAAAATCGGTTGATAAACAAGAAGTGCCCTCTAGCAAATGGCTACACATCTTCACCGTGTAGTTTTGATATCAAGAACTCTGTTGTCCCATAACCTGTCTGCTCTCCCCACCAAGCTCTAGAACTTTTCTTTTTTTTTCTTTTTTTTTTTTTTTTTTTTAAAAAGTACAGATAGCAGTGAAACAAGAAATCTAACTACAGAGACATTTCAAAATCAGCCAGATGCTGATGCAGTTAAAAAAAAGAGCCAGGAGACAATCTTGTAAGAGGCACAGGAGGGAGCTGGGGAGGCTCACGGCCACCCCACGCTCTGAATGCTGGCACAGGAACACAGAGTTAAGGCATAGCCATGGAAAAAAAATTATGGTTTATGTACAGTAGAAGTCTGGTCTTCCTGAGTACAATTCACACAAATTTATACTAAATCAATATGTTTCTCTGCCTGGAAAAGACCCATTGAATCATGCTGTAACAGAGCTAGGTCTCAGCAACATGGATGGCTTAGGAACCATGTAAGGGACTGGGCAAAGTCAGCTTTCAAACTTCTCCTAAGGGAATGGTAGAACAACACGATTCAAGCAGGCACAAGCAAAGCCAACAGGACTCAGAATAATGTGAGCCTTTAAAATCAGATTAATAAAAGCAGAGAAAAATCTAATGGGTTATGTCACATTGGTACTAAAAGTGTCCTTACTCAGCAGAGCATAATACCACAAGAGGATGCAGAAGCACTTAATGTCAACAGTTATGTTTAGATAGGAAGGAAGAAAAGATAAAAGGAAAAACTAACTTCAGACATAGCATTGTAGAGACCACACTGGAACTTGCTGAATTTGTGGTTTTCCAAATGAAAAAAAAAAAAAAAGACCAAAAATACTAAAGGTCAAAACAATATATCCTATTACAAGGCTGATAAATAAACTTAAGCCAAACTAAAGCTTCAAACTAGGATACTAAGCAACCCTCAGCTGTTGGTGATAAATCTGGTTTATATATTTGACAGCCAAGGCTGGGTTTATACATCACAGACAGTCCTTCCAGAAGATACTCTTTTTCCCTCTAACCTGAAGACATCTTAAAAATATACCTACTAATAAACACCCAACAGCAGATATCTTTAAAAAAAACAGTAAGGGAGGAGAAAAGATGCTACTCATGAGCTTTTCAGTCCTCACTTATTAATTCAGCAATACTTGACTCTGTCAAACCACAGTCTCTGACTGCAAACTCACAGCTCCTCCCCATCAAAGGACAACAACCTGCCATAGTCAATGGGCAGGGAACCTTACAGCACATCTTACAAATCAAGCAGGCTGGATCTAATGCAGGATGTTCATCTTCTGCGTCTTCTGAACATATTCTGAACTGAGAGAGCTTGAGCTAGGAGTAATACTATTTAAAAATACTCACCCTTAGCTACATCCTGTGATTTTTGAACTATACTGTTCCAATTAGGATACAATGATAACACAACAATAGGTGTCTTCACTGCCCATGCCACTCCTAGTCCTGTCCTTTGGAGAGAACAAAGTCATTCCTACCTTCTTTGACAGACCCCAAGGGGACAGAGTGACACACAATTCCCCTACCCAGCATCATCCTTGTAGCTGAGAAGTTGGAAGAAAAAGAAGCAGCAAAGAACTAGATATTTATTACAAGTGGTCTGTCACTGCCCACACTTCATTGAGGAAAATGTCACAGGCCCATCCTAAAAACTATAAAGGGTCTATCCTCTATAAATAAATGCTTTATGGGGGTAGTAATCCTGCATCTCTGTGCAGTACCTTATGTCCCACAATTTGTCCCAAGTTGACAGTGTGGCCTATTTGACACAGTCTCATTCCCTCCAAAAATCATTGCCTCAAGAGGGAGAACAATAGCAAGAGATAGCCTTCCTACAGAATATAACTGCTTAATTCCCCAGACCATGCAAGGGCTGTATTTCACTCACAGAATTCAGTGGCTCAATATGTATTTACAACTGCAGTGTAAAGCAATGATTTCAACCTACAGACCTTCTACATGACTCGGGGTACTGCAGTATCATAGCAGGTAAATTCATTTGTTTGTATTTTTAGAGGCTGGTTAAATATTACACTGCTCAAACCAGAACTGAGCAAACTCCACTTACTGTATCAATGAGCCCTGTTGCACTTTAAAAGCATGCCTCTTGTATTTGCTCTCCTGCCACACTGTTAGGATGAGCTGAGACATTCAAAACAGCAGTCCACAGACAAATACACCTTCAAGCTTAAATTTCTCAGGGGACAGTGACTCTGGAATTTACTTTTCCTCTTAGGCCAGGATGACACAATGGCTTCCTCTTACCTCTATTGTCCCTTCGTTGCATAGTTAATTTCTGAGGCTTAAATATTTCCCCATCAGTGAAGTCTAAAACATACAGCAATCAATATGGACATAAGCAGTAATACTAAGAAAGTAAGCAGCATTAAAGTATTATTCCTCAAGCTTAAGTTTCCTCTCTTTGATCATCACTCATAAAATGTTTCTGAAATGGAATAAAATATACAAAGTCTGGTGAAAAATTACATCATCATTACCAAAACCACAAACCAGATGAAAAAATCCAACCACTATACTCAGCGGAATTTGGCTTTACTATTAATTGCTACACTCAAGACTCATAAATAGATTGCACTAATAAATATTTTCACAGAACTTCACGAGATGCCAACTGTCAAAACATCACCTCATTAGCCAAAAAACAGAAACAGAGCTAATTAAGGCCCTAACTAATGAATATTCAGCTATTCCTTATACCTTCTACATCACACAAAAAGATTAGTTGCTTGCTATGATTTTGGTAGTCCTATGCAATAGCTTAACACAAATTATAAATAGTCAGTGAGTGGAGTAATTAAATTAAGTGCTGTGATCAATGCACTCAGTGACTTACTGCCTTTGCTATTTTGTTGTCTGCTTATTTATACTCCATTTTTGCAGTCTCAGTAATCTGCAACAACTCTGCAACAACTCTCTCAAACATTGTGGATGATTTTGCTTTGCTGAATTTTAGAATCCAACAGAGATACTTCAGAACCTATATAGATTTTCTACAACATATCCTTTTCACCACAAGCCACTTAGACTAAAAGCAAGCTATTTCATAAAAAAAACAATACATCTCACTCCAGAAATGGGTTTATAAACACTCATGCATGAATGTGCCATCCTATCTACATAGGGAACTCCAACAGGAGAATCCCTCTCTAAATCTAGAAACCTACAAATCTAAACCAAACAGCTCTCCCCTCTTCTCTTCAAAGATGCATTATTTCATTCCTGAGAGGTTAGTGACATTTTCCAAGGGATCACTCAAATTCTGTCAAGATTTGTGCTTTCACTGTGCTCTTCCTTGGAGCAAAACCTCCTTTTTGGCCCTGATGGGTCATCTGTCTATCCCCCTAAATCTGCTGGGAAATTTACACAGCATATTGTTGGGAGATGCACCTTAGAGAACATAATCCTCTGCCTTTTGTTCTGACTAACTCATCCCATTGCAGAACTTAGGCTGTTTTGCAAGTCCCAAGAGCAGATGGTAAACACATCAAGTGCCTCACTGCCAATCACTGCCATATCACATCAGAAAAGCTGTGGGAAAAAATCAGGCTCTAATCAAGGTGTGAGAAGAGTCAGCAGCCATGACCCTGTGGGCAGAGAGGGAAGATGCTGCTGTCCCCTGTTTTCCTCTCTCAGCAGGCTCTCTCCCAAAGCAACTGCGTTTTTTATCCAGCTGGGACTAAGGAATAACAGCATCAGTCGTGGAAAGAAACAAGTGGAAAATGAAAAACTTTACTATTCCTCTACCAACATAACCTCAGTCTTGCTTGCAGCATTTATTTCCAGTAGTAATCCCAAGGGAATCTAAATCATATATCCAAAAGCCCTCTCTTCATTCTGAGCTCAATCTACAGGTCTGATTCTTGCTACTTTTCTTGGAGAATGGCACAGTATCAATTTAAGATTCCAAGAAATACTGGACACTACTGTCCCCGGAAAAAGTGAAAGTAGTTGGGGTCCATGGTGGAATGACACTTTTATGCTGAACACTGCAGTTGGAACATTCATTAGTTTTCTGAGACTACAAACCTCCTCAGATTGAATGCTTTTTCAAGCTTATTTGTAGTAAAAAGTAATAACTTTGGAGAAATGACAAATTCTGGACAGATCACATTCCTATGCCAGAGTCTGACCATTCTCTTCACGTCTATCATACATTAACTTTATTAAGAAAAAATTATTCCTCTGCCTATATTAAAAACCAAAGCACGTTGAAGTATGTTTCATTTTCACTGAAAGGTTTTTCAATGTAAGTGAAGGACAACTTCAACTGATTGAAATATATCTTCACTGATGCCATTTGAGGCTAAGACAATTATATATAATTACATCAGACGTTCCTATACATGCGCTTCTCTTTCCCAAGCACAAGAATTCTACTGAGGCCCCAGAGATTTCAGGAAAGACAAAATGTCCTAAATAATAAATTTTAGGTAAAATTCATAGAACAAGATACTGTACAAATAAGTAGCCCACCCTTCTCACCAGCTCTGGAAAAAGGGATGCTGAATGAAGATGGCAACAAGAAGGATTTTTCTGGCCAAAAAGGCATGTCCGAGGCAAATAACAAACAGGTGAAAGAAGAACCAACCAGAGCCCAAAAGTGCTGATGGAAAAGTTTTTCTATCAGCCAGAGCTCAGTGGATCACTGCAGAAGGTCCAATTCTCTAACCATTGCCTGGAAGGTTTCCACACTCGTTTACAAGTGGTGAAAGTTTGAAACTCCTGCACCCTGGGATGGGATTTTGTGAACAGCTTCAGCTGTCAGAAGTATGAGCTGATGTGGAAAGGAGCACCTGTCTCACAGCCTGGCTTAACACCCCAGGGTTATTGCTGCAGGTGGGAAAGCCCATGGGACTATCCCTTCCATGGCACCTGCACTCAGATCAGCTCAACCTGCTCAAGCTGCAGGTTGAGAAAGGTAATCCCAGAACACATTCTGTAGCCCTGCTCTACAGGGCTACACATTTTTCAATATTTCAAGTTCTCATTTCCTGAGGGCAACGGAGTTCTTGCAGTACTTCCAATCATAGCCTGGTGGCACAGGGGAACAGGTTAAGAGGATGTAGCAAGTCAGTTAGTGTGGTGGAGCTAATGGACAATAACTCACTGAAAGCTGCTTTAAGCTGCTTTTGCAACTCTGAGATGAAAACCTGTGCAAACCAGGTTGTAACCATACACTTCACTCAGACAGACCTATGTACTTCAGTTCTGCACAAAACGTTATCTGCTAACTATGTAAAAGGATAAACACATCAGGGAAGGAGAAGCACTGTGCAAGACTTAAAAACAATCAGCTCCTTATATTATCCTCATCTTCTTTTACATGGTACGGCTATGTTCTCTTCCCTCTTTTCCACCACAATCCATAACATTTAGTAGTAACTGAAAAAATATAATATGAAATAAAAATATATATAAAATATAAATATATATGTACGTTCTTTGGTAAGCTAGTTATATATGCCTCCCTAGAACAGCATGGGAACATTCCTAAAAGACTTAATCATTGCTTTTTGGTTAATAAGCACTGAAATGATGAAAAAAAAGAACTGAAGATCAGAGAATCAGAGAATGCTTTGGGTCAGAAGGAACCTTCAACACCCCCTGCCATGAGCAGGGACATCTCCCACTAAACCAGGTTGCTCAAAGTGCCATCCAACCTACCCTTGAACACTTCCAGGGATGGAGAATCCACAACTTTGGGCAACATGTTCCAGTGCATTACCACCCTCACAGTACAGAATTCCTTCCTAATATCTAATCCAAACCTAAGTTTGAAGCCATTCCCCCTGCTCCTGTCACTACATGCCCTTGTAAAAAGTTGCTCTCCAGCTTTCTTTCATGCCCCCTTCAGGTACTGGAAGGCTGCTATAAGGTCTCCCTGGAGCCTTCTCTTCTGATTTCCCATACAAACTATACTACCCACAGACTATTTCTGGTACATAAAGAAATTTAAAAAAAACCAGAAGAGGAAAAAAAAGCAAGGACACTCACAATGAAATTTTTCTATGACCTACCTACAAATTACAGCCTGAAGTTGGATCTTATTCAACTCTGATTAATTCCAAAGTACCCTCAAGGCTGAAAGTTGATCACGTAATTTAATTTGATTTTTGGTGGCAGAGAACTCGAGGTAGGATTACAAGAGCAAAAACAGTTCAGAGGATTCTGTGAAACAAAGCATTCTGTCTATGTACCTCCTACTCAAAGTTTATCCTAAATATATCTATCTGCATCCTGGCTTTTCATATATACAAGACACTCTTTTAGCCAAAACCAGAGAAAAGTGTTCAGCTTGCCTTTAATAGCACAAAGTGCAAAAAAGAAAAACCTATGAAACCTACTTTTTGTTCTGCTGTCCACTTCTATTTTTGTTGGCTCCTGAGTTGCTGTTGCTGGAGGTAATTTCTTCCCAACACTCTGAAAAAAAATAATTATTCTCCTTTAAAATTTGCAGGTTCAGTTAAAAGTTGGACAACATAAAAAATTGTAATGGAAATACAAAATATAGAAGTAGAAAAAGGAAAATAAAGAAACAGAGGCAAATAAATCTATATTTAGGTTTGTTGCTGGGGAGTTTGTTAACTTTTTCAAAAATTATAAAGAATTCATAAAAGTGTGATCCTCAAATTTACCTTTAAAAATGTTTACTAACATTTAAAAATGTTTACTAACATTTTTAAACAATAATCCCTTAACACAGTTTCAGGGAAGACTCAAGAGAAGTTTCGCTGGTGGACTGAATATATGATGAAATTACTTAAGTAAAGGTGTTATTCAATATCAAAACTCAAACTGAGAGAAGGGGGGGAGGAACCCACTTGACTTCTGTCCATACAAGAAGTATTCATTTCAGTCATTCTAGATTGAGTGTAATTTTTATATTGTCAACATTTCTCTAAAAGATTCCCATTTTTACTTATTTCGAGCAAAAATAATTAACTTATGAAGCAATAAGCAATAACTACCCTCAGACAGGTAAGCTGTAACAGTAAACAAATGCTATCTGCCCCCATCAAAATAAAATAAAATTGGTATCCATCTTTATATCTTTGCCTGTTACTATATGCATGCTATTGCCCCTCTCTCAGCTTTTCTCCTTATCAAAAAGAGATATCAAGATTTTAAGCCTATCTTTAAAATCCCAGCAGTGTGTAGGTGAATAAATAAGTGTAATTATTACTTGTTTAAATAAATAAGAGTACTGAAAAGCCCTAGCTGTCATTCAACATCCTTTTCTGGCAATGGATGCAAAAATACCATGAAACCTCCTCCCCGCTCCCTTGACCTTCTCAGGAAAAGCTAAGAGATGAGAGCTAAGATTTAGTCTTGGAGATCATAATGAAACTCTTGGGGACCACAAGGAAAACTCTGGTCAATATGGGTACAGCACTTCTAGTAACTGAAAAATTCCAAGCTGTATAAAGAATAATAAGAGCTCCATGTTAGCAATTTTGTACACTAATGTGTCAAAACATAGCTATGAAAAGGACTAAAATACACACAGGGATTTCAGGCTGGTAATAGAACACCTGGGAAACAGACTTAGTTTTAAGAGATGCCCAAAACAGTCACCAAATCTGTGTTGACAGCAAGACAAACTATGAATTGCAGCACCCAAAAACATTTCTGTTGCAACTTAACTTGCAGGTGGCAGGAGAAACAACTCACGTTCTGCTGAACTAATGACTCTACTTACAACCCAGAGTTTGTGAACTGCTGAGGAAGAGAAATCAACAACAAAACTCTACAGAACCTCTGAAATTCTCTGCAGAGGTGGGACTGAGCGATAAGAAGCATTAACTGAAGCACTGACTGTGGAGATAACAGAAAAACAGGACATGACGCATTCCTGCAAACCAGGAAAGGGCAAAACTAAGAAAAGTGCATGACCTGGCTGTGCTGAAGCAGTTAAAAGGCAAGAAGGATGATGAGAAAGAGCTGACTGAGATCTAGCTGGAAAACAGTGAAAATTGTACTCAAAGAGATATAATGAAAAATTTGAACCCACTGGGCATTTACAGAGATAAAAGCACAGAATGCCTGCAAGATAAAAGCAAGACTAGGGAGACAGCTTTTGGTTCAGGGGCAAACAGGGCAGTTCAAGACAGATGCACATTTCAGTATACACCCATTTATGATCAAATATTTATTCACAGTTCTGTTTCAGAAAATGGTTTGGAAAATGATGAGAGTATGTACTCTAAACTCCATTACTATTTAACTCAGAAAGACATGCTTACTAAAAGACTATCCAAACCCATTAATTTAGGGGAGTGTCTGGTTTTGTTTTGGTTGTTTTTTTTTTAAGATGAAATTATTATGCAAGAGCAATTAATTAAAGGAAATAATTTGGTAATTGCTTCACTATATATGAATCATTGATTTTATGCCATGAAACCAAAACCCAGATAAACCCACAACAAGCTAATATTTAACAAGCTACAAATCACAGCAAAAGAATCATGGGCAGAAGGGAAGATACTAGTGTATCCCAGGGGGAAAGACATGCTGCAGTGTAATTTCTTAATTTACAGAAGCAGATGCAAGGGCGATGCTTGAAAACATTTATTCATCTGTTCATTCAGAATGAATGCCTGTGCAGGTGATAAATCAGCATTGGGAACCAACTGAGTCCTTGTGAACTGAACAGAGAATACCATCTCAACAAGAATGCTCTTTTATGGAGAGCTATGAGGTGTAATTCAAGTAAGTTTAATGAGGGTTACACAGAACCCACTCCAGTGAGTGAATATGTGCATTTGTTGTGGGACAGGGAGAGGAGAAGACAAGTGGAACTGGTGTTCTTTAATTGTAAGGGGACTGTACTCTAGGATTTCTATAGGTGACACAAGCAGAACAGAAAAAGGGAATAAAAATTGCTGAGCCATACAAATCTAATTTCAGGTGGACCTGCGCTGCCAATGAGTCAGGTAAAAGACTAACATGAAAGCTGGAGTTGTGTATCAGTGTTTTGTGGCATAGATCAATGTGTCTAGAAGGGCTTGGACCAGTATTTTCTGTCTAGAGCTGTATATCTTGAATTCTTGGCTGCAGAATGGTTTCAGCACCAGCAAGAAGGGTAGCATATCATCCTGTGCCTTTGTATCTCTAGCCTGGTGGCACAGAGACACTCCTAAAGACTACTGTTTCAGTTTCCCTCTATTTTCCTGAGATTTATGCTAATTATCATAAATCTCTGTTCTAGATGGTGGCAGTGAGCCTTGTTCCACTTATATTACTCTGGAGATAACACTCACTTGCTTAGTCCTGTCACACAAGAAACACGTGGTGGAAATGGAGTTTGTATTTTCTGACTCCAAGCCTACGTTGACTCCCAAGACACAACAGAACATTATCAAGAAAAGAGGCAGAATCTTGATCCCACTATTTCTGCAAGGTGAGCATAATTAGATTACTTAGCTGTCAGACACAAATTCCACTAATCGCCTGACAACTGAATCCTAAAGATGAAAGGGAATGAAGTGCCCTCTTGCTGCAGAAACAGCTGATTAAAGCATGAATAATGACCATGATCTGGTGTACAGATATTCAAGGGATGAGACAGATTTAGCATCAACCTGCCCGTATTAATGCTTTGTTTTACAAAGCCGATGGAAGGACAGTCTAGCACTAAATAAGTTATTTTGGCAGAAGAGGCCTGGGTGGCATCTTGGGACACTGCAAACCCATATCACTGCAGGCCAATTTCCTCTGATACTGAATTAACAGTGATTAAAAAAGTGGTTGATTTTTGGCACATGAAGTCACGTGACTGAGGTCACAGTATATAATATAAAGAATCTCATGTTCTTTCATTTATATATTTTGTCTCAGCTGCAATCCCTGTAACAGCAGAGACCACCACAAGAAAAGCAGAGCACATGATGGGCAGTATACAAGTCAGTTTTTCTCACTTAAAGGTACTTCCCTACAACTACTGAACCCTGACCAGAGGGAGAAAAAAAGACCTGAGGCCAAGTTTCCTTCTTCAGGACATTTTAGAATTGTACTTCAGGGTTTTCTGTTGTTAAAAACTGCCTTGTCTCTCTACTTTTGTTATTCAGGTCTAGTGTTTCTAGAACATTTAATCTGAAAATTCAAATTGAATGGTCAGTTGTGCACAGGTAGGTCCATACAGAAGATTCTGTTATAATTCTTTGCACTAAAGAAATATACTTATCCACTGAGGCTCCTTAAACAATATAGGCTTCTCTAAGCAAGAGCTTATTAACTCAGGAATAAGGAAAAACTTATTTACTCATCATCAGTATTATTCTGGAAAGTGTCTTGAGGTCTTTACCCAAGGCAAAATATTTTGGAACTGCTACTTGGAATATAACTCCATGAAGACATTCTAAAAAATATAACAGACATCAAAGAATTCATAAAAAAGGGGTGCATGAGCTGAAAACACTAATATTTTCAAGTTTAACTTCTCCGTTTGAATAGTGAAAATATAACAATATGCACTGATGCTTTACACAAAGCAGGAGAAGACAGTTATGTACTTTGTGAACTTTTAGAATTTCAGAAAACATCAATAACTAGGTCAGAGGGAAAAAGTGCCACGTTTCTCTGACCACAATGCTTCCTCTCAGCATTCAACTAGTATTTTTAGATGTTGTTTACATGCATGAGAATTATCTAATATATAGGTTTGAGTACAAATCCAAGGCCACTATTAGTGATAGTATAAAATCTGTATTCTTTATTGTATTTTTGACAGTCCATTTTGTAACAGAGAACATTTTTTCACAAAAAAGCAGAAATGGTCATTATATTCTTCCAGTTCTGGAAGACAATCTTCTCACATGTGGCGTTGTGAGGGGACAGCCAAATTAATGTCTTTTTTTTCCTAATATGCTTCAAGTGCTTAAGGAATGTCATCAAGTCCTCTACCCATCCTACCTGTCATACCTAAAATAAAAAAAAAAAAAAAAAGGAGCCAAAATATAAAACCCCCAAAGACTTTCACATGTCAAAATGCCCTCACTCTGTCAGGCACAAAGTAAGAGAAATGTCCAGGATTTCAGTTTTTCCCATGATGCCAACATTCACCTCTACAGAAAGTACTTTCTGTGACAGCAAGATCAAGTTTTGCTATGCTAAGGTTTCCCTAAAGGACAGAGCTAACTTTCCCAAAGGGTCACCACATGCCACTACTACCACAAGAAGGCAATAGGAATTTTAAGAAAACTTTATAAAGAAAAGAAAAATTCTTTAGAGAAAGTGCAACTAAGCACCCATCTGCACATTTGACTGTCTCAGTTATTTAAAATAGCTTCTTCCTCTGTAACTGCTTTCTAACCAACTTTGCTTTGGTAGAAACACTGCCCATATTCTCCTGAACCACAATTACTTATATTTTTTTAATAGCAACTAGGCAGATACATCTGCACTCCCAGCTAACACAGAGA